TCCCCCACTCCAGAGAGAGTCCAACCCTGCCTCTAGTATGCCTCCCTCACCTGGATAAACACCTCTGGCCCACAGAGCTTGTATCTACCAGCCAATAAAAATTGCTTGTTATCTCCCAAAAGCATCTACCTAAGCCAATTAGCTTTACCCCTCCCCCATTCCAAATACAGCAGTGCAGGAGGTCAGCTCCTTCTTGGGACTCTAACTCATTTCCCTCCCTGACTCATCCCAGACTAGCCTAACCCCTCATCTGACTTGATACAGTGGCCTCTGCCCTTGCAGAGATGGCCACAGAGAAAGGCCAACAAGACCCACAGAATGGAGCTGTGCAAACACATGCTCCTCCATGCCCATCTGAACAGAAGCTGATCAGTGCCTGCTAGCCATAAAGATGACAGTCTCATTAGCACACTGCCTAGAACATGGTAGGTGACCAGGGAATCCCTATTGAATCAATAGTTTCCATAAAATAAGCTACAGAAAGCTAAGATTTGTGCTAAGATGATGGCACACTGGCTAAGGATTCCTCTTATTGCTGATCCTATTTTCTCTTGGTATATCCAAGGATGGACCTGGAATCAATTTGTCTGGGTTTAAACAACTGAGTTTGTCATTCCAACTTTATGTCCTCATGCAGGTTGCTGAACTTGTCTTAATCCACAGTGCCTTCCACTGTAAAGTGGGGTTAGTAATAGTGCCAAGTTTGGGTAGTGTCTTTGTGAGAATTAAATGACGTAATTTGTATAAAGCACAGCATAAGGCTTGGCATATAGTTAGTAACTAGTATATTTCAGGTATTATTATAGATTCTTGATTTATGTTTCCGGATTCTAAACCATGTTGTTATATACACATATACTCGAACACACATATGCATATAAACATAACCCAAAACAAAAGTATTAAAAATTATTCCCTTGGCCACAATTGTTGCTAAGGTTACGTATTGCTGAGAGTTTATCTCAACACGGTAGTAACAATAATGAACAAATGGTTTTTCTATCCAGAAAAGTCCACTCAGCCAAGATACAGTCTGAATAACATGGGTCTGATCTCCCTAGTGCTTCCTCTTCACAAATAGAAAATGTGATGGAGGAGACTGTGCTCTGATCAATATTATGTAAATTTCACCTACAATTCCAAATCTTATAAAATAGGGGAAAACTTTTAAAGTGTATCACGTATTTTCATAAACTCATAATGCATACCGTATTCTAGGCTGTGTGAGAGTGTGCACGTGTGTGTACAAAAAGGTAGGCTAGTAGAGTTAAAATAGTTGGCGATGCTGAGGACAATTTAAATGTGCTCAGTTTGAAGACTTACTGTAGAATGAAAATAAATTTTAAGAATTGATCACCCTCTAAACATGCACAATACCCATGCATACAATTTACCATGTCTAAGAACAGCCAATCCTGGCAAGACTAACAGAACAATTTACAAAAATAGCAGGTCAAGCCCCAACTGAAAACCAGATTTGTTGGAGAGAAAGTTAAGTATTACATAGTAAGACTCTAAAATAATAATTAAAAAATCAATGAATCTTAAATTACATCCAAGTGAGGAATCCAAGTAGAGGATATAAGTGTGGCCACTTATTCAGGGATGAGGCAGATGGCAGATAGGCTAAATAAGTTCATTGTCTTGGTCTTTACAGAAGACATTAGGAAGATGCTCACTTGAACCAGGCAGATGGTAGGAGATCAGATAGCAGTAAATGAACAAGATGTTCCAGGCCTGTTTGATAATATGGATGTTGGTAAGTCACAGTAACCAGAACATTCACCTTCACTCGTTAGAGGGACTGTGGGTCAAAACTGGGTACTGCTGGACAAAATGCTTAACCTGACATTGGCAAAAGGCCTGGGCCAGAGGACCCCCCCACAATGGCCAACCTGAGCCTCTTTCATAAAGTTAGCATGGCTTGTTAAATCCCAGCACACCAGAAACAGTAGAACTCATGCTTTGAAGGTTAAGTGGAACAAATTAAAGGCAAACTTTAAAATTTCATTACCCAAAAGATGTCAGCTAAAAATATAAATAGAGTCCCAAAATTTAGATCCATCTGAGATAATGTGTCCAATATGGGAGCTAGAGTTTCAGGGGCAATGACTTGGGGCTCTAGGGTGAGGATCTTTGAAAGTAACCTAGGAGAAGGTCAGTAAGTACTTCCCCATATTTCCTGGTGCCTCTGGGCTAGGACTCTTTTGTATGTATCTGGTACCAGCTACATACCAGTAGCCCCTCTCTCTTTTGTTGAGCTTTCTTAGCCTCACTTTCAGTCTTGGCTCTAAAAGCCCGGGAGCTAATCACTGTGCTTCTGCCTGTGATATATCATCACAGTTTCAGTGTTGTTCCTCTTTCTTCTTCTTTCAGGAGGGACCGAGTACAGTGTATTCTACCAAACCAAGAAACACACAGGGTACCTGCCCAGGGCGAGGGGGAGGAGGAGCTCACACTCCACCTCTGGCTTCCAGAAATGATATGTGTTCTCAAAGGATCAAAGGTTGCCAAAGGCCCATCTAGTCTCCCTCCATCCTGATAGGACTAAGTGCTGATGAATTCTCTGCATAGGACACAGGGGACACTGGGGAAGGAAGCAATTTCTGTAAACAACAATCCATTTATAGATTTCCTTCTCCATCTGCCCCCAAATAAAAATGAGTGAAGGCTTTGTGATCCTTGGAATGGGAGAAAATATATAAAACTTTCCAAGGAAAGCATCACTGTGGTGTTTAAAACAGACAAGGACCTGGGATTTGGAGGGTAAGTGCACAGAGATGACATTAAAGAATGGGGAACATATGCTTAAGACTGTCCCTATTTTAAATTGAAAAAAAATCAGTGAAGGGAAGTGTTGTTATTTCCAGGTCAGGTCACACGCCTAGTGAATCCCAACGCAAAGACCGCCTGAGTGTCATATGGCCACATGCAGAGAACTAGCCCCAAACACCAAGGAGCTGGCCTGGACAAAAACAACACAGTAACATAACCCTGGGACGGAAATGTGTTTTTAGTTACACCAGGGCCTGGCCAGGCCTCTCCCACAGGCTCTTCCTAAATAGGAACTTGGCAGTGGGATTCGTTGGGCTGGAGGGAACGGCCTTGGCTGCAGAGGTCTTGAGGGAGATTGGACAGAAGTTCTCTCTCCCTGCTGGTAATAACACTGAAGAATCAGTGTCATATCCATTTTATTAGTTTTCCTGACAGGTGGCTCTAGTTTCCATGCAGGCACCACAAAATCAAAACATACGCATGTCAAGTGCCCCATAGGCAGTGGGACCCTGCCAAGGCCCTGTTACATCAACACAAGAAAGCAGAGTCCAGGGTCCCAGACCATGTGCCTGGTCCTGCAGACAATTCCCCAGTGGACAGAACCACCAGAGCTTGGCTGAACGAGCCCAAGGAGCCCTCCTGGTGACAGCTCTTTATCCTGGGTCGAGGAGACACAAGCTTCCATCCGGCTTTTGGGCTTGTCTCTACACCTGGCCACACGGATCATCCTGCCACCTCCCCTTTGCCTGCACTCTGTTTCAGCCAGTCAGGGCACTTGCAGCCTGGACTGAAGAAGCCACTTAAAGGAAAGCAATGTCCCTCTCTGTGAGCTGGGTCTGAGGCACGGGTTCAGTGAAGTCAAGGTCTGTAGGCACACAGTGACTAGAAGAATTTTTTCATCCAAGCATCCATTGCTAAAGTGATGATTGAAGGGACTCCAAAACAATTTGTTCTTTTACAGAGGAATGTTAAGTATAAATTGACTACATAGTGTAAATTAGGTGGGTACAGTAAGTAAGGACCTAGAAAAATATCCTATTCTAAGTCAGACAAGTTCCGGAGGCCCAGGATCAGCACTGACATAAAGTTATTACATCACCTGCATCTCCATCCTCCAGCCCATCCCTCTCATCGCAACCAGGGCCATGTCCTCAACTCACCAAAGGCCTCACCCCTGGCAGTAGATATAGCAGCAATGACAGCAAAAGCCTGGAGACCTCACACCTTTGATTTCAAAGGTATGGACCCCCTTTGCAGAACCCCCTGGTGACTCACTGACTTTTCACTTCAACCACAACTAAGTCAGGAAGGGGAAGGTGAATAAATGAATAACTGGGAGGGGAATGTAAGCCCAGATCTTGAATTAATGGCCACCAGTGCCTAATCAGAGAGACCCAACCTAGACAGTTTTTATTACACTGATTTGCCACCTTGACCGCTGAGGCTGAGAACAATCCAAGGATAAGGACTGGTTTATCATTCTCCTGAGCTCCAAGGGCCCTCTCAGTAGGAGCCTGGACCCTCAACCCAACGTCCTGGGAACACGCCTGGCCTGGCCTGTGAGGACAGATTTGGGTCTTTCTTTGCCTGAGCTGGTCCAGCAGGCAGGGCCCCGCTGGGGTGAGCCGGCTGACAAGGCGATGAGCAAATCCAGACCATGCGCCTCATGGTGTAAAGGGCGCCACTGACGAGGACTCAGTTCATCGTTTCACTCTCCATTCAAATACCCGTGGCATGTCAACCCTGCTGGCCTCCTTGATTGTGCAGAAATAAATAAATGAATTATGTTGTTGGGGTTTGGGCTTCAGCACAAACACATGGTCTGCATTTATCCGCACAGTGAGAGGTCCACCAGCCACTTGATGTAAAAGAGCAAAATGATAATTCTTTTCTTTAGGCGCTCTGGTGCCATATGGAATGTATATAAATCATATTTTTGTTTTAACAGCGGAGGCTTTGTTGATAGATAAACATGTGGTTTATCTAAAAAAAAAGAGTGGATTGTGCTTTGAACAATCATTTAATGGCCGTGGATGTGCCAAATAAAAATAAAAACATAATTTTGAAAGAAGTTGGCCTCTTGCCCAAATCTGTAACAAGGAATTTCTCCTCAACCAGAGTGGTTAAAGCCCGTCGATCTGTTTTGAGTTTAAGCTGTGCTCTCTACTCAACCCCACGACAAATTGAATCGGGGGCTAATGTGCTCTAATAGGACACGACGTTACCTTTATGAATGACCTCATGGAGAAGAGGTTGGCGAGCATGGTGGAGAGGCCCTGGGCCAGGCAGCTCTGGGCTATGAACCCCAGCTTCAGCTCTGCAAGGCAGATTGCATCATCACCTTCTTTCCAATTCCAGCTTGGGATGTTTAGCAGATGGGCCTGTGGAAAGAAAAACAGTTATGAGACCTTACTTTGTTAAATGTTTGATTGTTTAAAATCTCCTCTGGGCAGTGCAGCATTGCTCAATTGCTCTGGGTCAGACTTGTCCTTTCTTGCCCATGCCCGTGTCTGCTGCTTGGGGTTTTACTCAATCCTTCTCTTCATCAGACTTCAGTTTCTCCAGAATATTGCTTTTTGTACCTACCAAGCCCAAGACCTCCCCTCAGGTTTGACCTTAGCCAAGTAAAGTCCAATGGAAATTCTTCTTGTGACATTGGCCCATGCTACTAGTATGTCTAGCTAGGTTGTCCATAAACTGGCCCCTCGAACAGACTCTAATGCTGCCAGGTGCCTGGGTACTTGAGATTTCTTTTTTACCTACCTTCCCACTACTCCAGGCTTGAGCTAGTATTAGAGTCACCTGGAGGGTCTGAACAACAACATTGCTTGCCCTTCCTCCACAGTTGCTGATTCATTGAGTGTGGGGTGAGCCTGGACAATTTGCATTTCTAAGAAGGTCAAGGCCATGCTGAGCTGCTGGGCTGGGGACCACACTTTAAGAAGCACTGCCCTAAATCATCAGGCAAATCACAGTGTATACATGTTACAATCTGTTGCAGATGGACTGATCCTATTCAACAGTTAGGTCAGACGCTAAGATCAGGGCCCAGAGCCATGCTCAGCCAATTACTTTCAAGTGGCATGAAGCTAAGTCACAGATGATACACTGGATGAAAGAATCAAAATTCAAAAAGTTCTCCAGAGTTGAAAAAATGGGCAGAAAAAAAAACAACCAGAAAAGATTTAAAAGGTCTTAGTGTCAAGTACAGCATTTAGACTAAGAAAAAACAATTATATAAATTTAAAATGAGGAGACCTAACTTGGCAGCAGACAGGAGAAAAAAGAAAAAAAAAACAAAAACCTTAAATGTGTGCGTAACTAAAACCCATGAGAGGCCAACCGTGTGACAAATTACAGAGCAAGCCAATGTTTGCTAGTTAGAAATGGTCTCCAGATCAAGGGAAATGAATGTCAATGAATGTTCCATTCTCATGTGAACTGGTCAGGCTAGTTCCAGAGTTCCTGATCCAGTTTTACCAGTCAGATGTTGGAAGGGAAACCGGCTGTTTGAATCACTTACAGAGAAAAAATGATAAGCACAAAGAGAGGCGTGAGTTCTGGAAAACGCCTTTAGAACAACAATTAAGAGAGCCAGCAGTGTTTGGCCTGAAGTAGGGCCATGCCTTCACGGAGACAGAAGGGCAACCTCTGAATACCCAGGTGCTGCAGTGGTGAAGAGAGATGAGGCTAGTCTCATCTTGCTGTGTTCCAGGGGCCAGAACTGAGATTGACTAGGGTATACTACAAGAAGGGAGTTATTTTTGGCTTATCTTATAAAGGAACTCCCTAAGGATGCCATTTGTCTAATAAGTCGAGAAGGCCGCATCCAAAAATGCAAAGTCTTTGCTCCTAAAACTCAGCAAGTATCCAGGTCGCAGCACAAAGACCCCTGGCTCTGTAGAGAAGAGAACCCTCTGGGGCCTGCCAGTGCCAAGTCTCTACAGCCCTGAGGTTACTATGTCTTTCCAAACCCGAGGGGCACCACGGAGGCTCCCATTTACACAGTTGTACTAGGAGATACAAGACTCCTTGGGGAAACAAAGGGCAGGTCCAAAGATCCCCGCTCTGCTTTCAGAAATAACCACTCTTGAGAAACTCCTTCTTGCAAAATCCAGTTCTGTGACAATCTCGTGCGTCCTGACCCAACGGAGTCTACTCCTGGGAGAGGTGACTCTATCCTTCCTGATGACAGCACTGTTCAAATAGTCCCGTGTGTGGGCCGTAGCTGATGGCAGTGTCTGTCCGGCTGAGTACCAGAGACCTTCCACACTTTGAATCCTCAGTGCAGCAAGGAGCCCTGCCCTTTGTCCCATTTCTCTCCTTACTCTCCACTGGCTTATGGAGGCCACTTTCCCCTCCAGTTCCTTGGCACCATAGAGAATAATATATCAATCAGTCTCAGTGAAGAAATGTTCATTTGCATTAACACCATCTGAGAAGAATCAGGAGACACTGAATCTAAGTAATGAAAAATAAAACCATCAAGTGTGAAAGATATGGGTGGTCCAAGCCCCAGACAGGCATCTTCAAACAAACAAACAAAACATTTTCAAGAGGACTCTCATGTCTGCATGTGCCATCCAGGGTATGAAGTCCAGGCTTTTAGGCCTTGGGTCCCTCCTGTGCTCATCTGGTTTGAGTTCCTTAGACATATTCTATGTGTTAGTACACAAGAAAGGCACTTGTTTTTGTTTCTCAGGCTTCCTTTCTTGGCCCCCAAAGCTTCTGCAATCACAGGGAGGGAGCCGCGAGGGATGCGCCCAAGCCCAGGACTAGGGACGTCTGTGTGCATGAAACAAAATGAGGAAGGTGACCCAGGAACTGAAATTCTTTGTTTCTGGCAACTCTGTCCTTTTTCACTGACAGAAGTGTAGGTCCAGTGAAAATGCCAGCATTACTGCATGGGAGTAACCTGAAGAAGCAGACCTGCTGAGCAGGGTGGAGCAGGCAAGGGTGCCCGGTTTCTGCTGCTGAGTCACTGCTCATCTCAGGAAGGAGGAATGTGAGACAGTTTGTCCTGGGAAACCAGGAGAGATGAATTCCAGCCCCAGCTCCACTTCTCACCATGCACAAAACTGTGGGGAGGCCCCCATGAAGAACAAAGAAGGTTGCGTTACAGAAAATACTTTCAACACCCAAGTGTAAGTTTGTAGTAGCAAGTCAAAAAGACTGGGCCATTAGGACTTGGCTTCCAGGTCAGAGAAAAAGGCCTCTTTCACTACAATCTGCTTGAAGGAAAAAGTCCAGTAATAGCTAAATCATCAGAACCAACACTTTTCCAAGATATCACAAACCATTCTTTCCATTCTCTTGAAGAGATTCAAGTCATCTGCAATCAAATCGGAAAACTCCCTAGGCTATATTCTTTCCTTGTTTGAAATTGAGTAGGCTGCGAACATTTCCACAGACTCTAGTGATGTTAAACACATCCACTTTAGAGAATACCAATCTTTCTATGAGGCCTAACTCCGAGGAACCACAGTTTGGTTCAGTGGACTATGGCTCTGTTCAAAGAGAAGGTGGTAGTTGGCAGTTCTCTTAGCTCACTGGCTGCCGATGATCATGACTTGTGCTGACCAGAGCTGCTCTGTCTGAGACAGAGCTTAGAGCCCCGAAGACACAGTGGGATGCTAAAGTGCACAGATGGTCAGAAGAGGACTAAATGAGATAATGGATGTCAAAGCTCTTTTGAAACCATAAAATATGACACAAATGTCTGAGATTATTATGCTGACAAACCAGGACCAGTTTTATGAGAGTTTATGGAAAGCAAGCCGGCAGCTTCCATACATGTCTCGAGGCCCTAAATAATGGTCACAGGGGACTGAAATTCTCTGTATTTCATATATGGTATCCAATGATGGGATTAACTATCCCTTGGACTATGTTGACAGTGACGTAAGTTTACACACACATACCAGGTTCTTTCCTGAAAGCAAGTTTTAATGGGTGAAGATGTCTGGTGAAGAGAAAGTGCCAAGAAAGGAAGAAAAATAATAATATTGCATGGAAGGTGAAGAAAAACACAATGAAAAGGTAGGTACAGGAAGACCTTAGGGAGCAGAGCAAAACTGTAAAGCAAGGTGTAGAATGTCTAGTTGCAACTATACAAGAAATAAGATAACAAATAATGACCAGTGGACTTTCTGTTCTTTCTCTAGAAGATAGAAATGAAATGGGAGAGAAAAAGGCCCTGTGTCAAAGTCACTTTGTCCCTTGCACCCACATTAAACTCCCAGGGGGAAAGTCTCATAGGTGATTTTTGCCCAATTCTAAAACCCATGTAGCTTGGAGTGGTTTAAAATAAAATGTGTCTTTAAGCAAATAATCATGGAACAGTTGGTGTCTTCATTATTGTTTCTGAATAGTTATGACACGGAGGTTTGTGGAAGACATTCAGCCTGCTGCGAGCATGTGAACACTGACCAGGTGCCATCTGGATCCTAGGCCCGCCAAGCTACATTGAGTTTGACGAGAATCCCGTAGCTGAAATCCTCCTTAATTTCTTGAAGATGCTACATCAGCACTCATTGGAAGCAGAAAGGAAGAAACTGAAATCCCTTTGTAAACATACCATATTAGTTTTCCTATTCAATCTAAATTCAGCCAAAAATCTAAACAACGGCTTAAAGCACTCCCACGTGAAAGAAAATTTCAAATCACAAATGAAAGAAGAAAAGTTAGTTGCTTCAGGAGCTGTCACCCACCACAGCTCCTCCTCCACCTGCAGGGGCTGCTATCAAAAAAACCTCTCCAAATCAGTGCTGGTGAGTTACCAATGTCCTCACTTTCTCTCTTTAGTGTCCTTGGGTTTTCCAGAGACACATAGGACAACGTGACCTTGGGTGCCCATCACCAAGCCCACTGGCTGCGGAGCAACACTGTCTGCCATGGAACCACCTGCCCAGGGCTGGGCAACAGTCGGCACTGGGCAACAGACCTGCGTGGCAGGCCAGTCACTGACAGCAGGCTCCACTCAACAACAGCCGCTGATGGCCCTCCACTCTGCAAAATGGGGCAGCACTTGCCAACAATTAAGAAATAATGGCGTGGCATTGGCGCATTTGGCAGAGTAGGTCTTCTCTGGGTCACCTGACGGCCTATTTCATAGGGAATGTGGCCTATAAGATGGGACACGAGCTCAGTCAAAACCCAGCAGGGAGTTATTCTGTTCAGACAGGACACCTGGTTCCAGGTACTGAGAAGCCTCTGGTTTCTAAGCCTCATTAAGGGAGTGACTGGTTCCGTAGCAAGCAGAAAAAAGTGCCACCTTCCCTCCCCCAAAGCTGTTTTCCTCGGAGTGTAATGACCGTCTGGGTGAAGGAGCGCTGCCTCTGAATGCGACTGGGCTCCAGGAAACAGCACAGACTTTCCAACCCCCTTGTCAGCAGTAACACTAGGACAATTCCTTCTTGCTTAATCTCTAGCTAGCCAACTGTTTTCCTGAATTCAACCATGCAATTCATCTTGAATTTGAGCATGCCATGCTCCGCATTCTCCACCCAACCATATTTCCTTCCCCCACATTCACCTGGTCTCAGGTAGGAAAGTCCGATTGGAGACACTCTCACACATGGAGTGCTGAATCCTTGAGGGCACAAAACAGGACTTCTTCATTATATCTATGTGGGGTTAGGAGCCCAGGCTAAGAATGTGGACCGCCTAGTAGGTGATCTGTAATTACCAGCTAAAGAAATTAGTGCAACACATAAACATGGAAGTTGTTGGAAGGAGATCTAAGAATGCATCAGTATTTCTGAACCTAGAGGACCAACAACCAAGGCTTCCTAAATGAAAGAATCAGTACTGAAGGTACTTGCTTCCCGTGATCAACTACAAACAAGGACTGAAGAAATGTCCCAGGGAGGTTTTTCCCCACCACGCTCTCTACCCAGGCCTTTGCTGTGTGTGCACGCACACGTGTTGGGCTGTATGGTGAGGGAGGAGAGGCTGGACCCACGTGTGCATCTCTCAGCCTGGGAGGGGCTCTCACTGTCCTACCTTGTTGTGATACTGCAGCATCTGAGTGATGATTCTTATCTTCGGATGGTAGTTCTTTATGGAGATTACTCTGAAAAAGAAAAAAACCAAAGCTGAAGCAGGGTTTGCCTCACCCTCGGAGTCGGATAAAATTAATTTGATTATAATTAAATGCATTGAGTGTGATGCCAGCAGCCAGAGCCATCCTGAGGGGTTGCAGGCACTGGGCCAAGTTAAGCTGTTTCCACCACCATACCCTGTGGTAGTGTGACAAAGAAACCACACAACTGTCACAGACTGTGTCCTGGGCACAAAAGAGGAGAGAGGCCTTGTGGTATCTTGGCGATGGATGGTGAGTGTATGTGTACTGGGGGTGGGGGTTCCAGAACAAGGGTCAGGGTTCGTTGCCTACATAGGCAACTAAAGAAAGCAAGCCCAATTCATGGGGCCAAGGGAGGTTTGCAATCTCATGCCCTGGGGAAGAGAGCCTAGAAACAATTTGCTAGGAGTCCAATTCCCTGAGTTAATAATTTGAGACAACAATGACAAACCAAATGATTCTAATTGTTGTACACGTGGCCACTCACAAAAATGATCTCTAAGCAGGGCCCTTAAGATAAGATCGATGGCTCAGGTTTCCATAACTAATAACTACCTGAATGATGACTTCAGTGGTGGTTATGATACAGGGTGCAGCCAGGGGGGCCCCCAAAAAAAGATTTGGAATGGTGTCCAGAATTCAAAGTGTATAAGAATATTAGAGAGACATATAAGATGTCCTCACACCTCCCCCCAGGGGGAAGAATTTTGCATAGCAACAGTTTTGCAGCTAACCTCTGGAATGGTTATTTAACATATCTATAACCTTTAACTGGTTTCATAGATATGTTAAATAGGAGTGGCCAAGTTTGGAGTCAAGGAGAAGGTAGTGAGCTGGGACTCAGGAGGATGTAACAAGGGGCTGCACTCCTGAGTGAGAAGGGCTTGGACTCAGGAGGATGTAATGAGGGGCTGCTCTCCGGAGTGAGAAGGGCTTGGACTCAGAATGGTAACTAAGGTCTGTACTCCTGAGTGAGAAGGGTTCGGGGACTCAAGATGGGAACTAGGGGCTGCTCTCCTGAGTGAGAAGGGCTTGGACTCAGGATGTAACTAAGGGCTGCGCCCCTGAGTGGAAGGGCCGGTGTGTGGGAGCTTGGAAAAGACTGGCTCCGGGACAGAATGGAGATCCCTGCAGCCAGGTGAAGAAGAAAGCCACATGCTTTTGGTGGAGTGCGAACCCCTGCAGCTGGTAGAAGAGGCCCATGAGGCTTTGGGGTGCCCATTTGGCCACGTGGCCTGGAAAGCAAGAGAGACTTTGACTGGAACTGGGTACAAAGGACTCTTGCCAGTGGACCGTGAGAGGTAGCACAGTACTTTGGATTAACTCAAGATCCTGCACAGTGACACAGCTGACAGTGCCAGCAGCCTGCAATACAGACGTGTGCTCTTTTCCTGATTTACGGTATCCGGAGTTGGGACAGTGGGAGAAGGGAGCGCTGTGTGGGTGTAGGTGTATACCCTAAAGGACTTTGATATTTTAGTGGTGGCATTAGGCCTGAATAGCATTAAATAAACATTTTGTTTCCTTTTCACAAATCTCTGGCATTAAGAGATGTCTTTCCAATTAGCGGCGGACAGAAGAGCCCAGTAGATATTAGTATTTTGTCCTTGGGAGGGGCCCCTGTTGTATAGCAGTTTTGGGCATCCCTAGGTGGGGCAAATATTGTATTGCCCCTCCCTCGGACCTCTTGTTCGGTAACAGTTAGAGATGGAAGGCAAGGCCTTCCAGAAATCCTGATTTGGCGGAAAATCTCTCCAAAATGCCCTCAGGCCAACTCAGGATTAACCACTGCCCACCCCTCCCCTTTGATTTGTTTGACAATCCCTGTGCGGAAAGGGGAGGGGCCAGGAGCAGAGAAACTGAAACACCTGGACTCCAGTCCCCGCTATTGTACTAACGAACCGGGTGACCTTCCGGAAATCCTGGTCCTCTGTGACTGTTCCCTCATCTGGACACTGGGGGCAACAGTACCTGCTTTATTTATTTCACAGGGTTGGTATGAAAAGCAAAATGAGAGACCAGATGTGAAAATGCTTTGAAATCATTAAAAGCTCTCTCCACGTGTAAGTTATGGTTTTTGTCATTACCGACTCTGTCAGAGGTGACATTGTACATTTCCTTCTGTGACAAGGAAGGCTAATGAATGGAATCCGCAGAAAGGCCACCTCCTAAGCCTACTCAGAAATGCAAGTGCATTTATTATGACCACCCCACAAACTTCCCACCAAGAAAGTCTCTGCTCTTTTTTGTGTGTGTGCAAAGATGGGGAAAAGGCAGCCAGGAAACAGCTTTGTCTGAAAAGCTACAACTTGTGAATTTAGGCAACAGATCACACATAAGTCCCTCGTGCACAAATTCACCCTGGGCTTTTGCACTTGAAGGATTTCATTTTATTTTTGAAAAAGTGTTGCTTTGGCCCACGCTTATAACTCAAGGACTTTGAGCCTTTGTCAGGCCTCTGAATTCAGTTCACAGCATCAGCCAGTTTTCTGCATTAGCTCATTTCAAATGGATCTTTGACATTTTAATTTCAAAAGGGGCAGATTGGTCTCATTATATTAAGGAGGAAGGAGGCTTATACAAATAAGGGAAAGACAAAGCCCATTTTTAACCCTGGATCTCCCATTTCCTTTTGCTGCCCAGGCCTTAGTTCTCATTCTGGTTAATAGAGGGCTTAGTTACATTTCTGATACTACAGTACTTTGTTCAGGAATCTTTATACCTTGGCATCATGCCTCTCACCCTGGTAACCTAGATGTCTTCACATTAACCCTATCACAGTTAGGGCTTATATAAAATATTGTGATTAAGAGAAATGCCCATTTCAAAGCTATTATCATTTCAATTAGTCACTTTTGAATGGGGTGGGGGAGGAGGCAGTACCAGCCTCAAACTTTTTTGTGGGGTCAACACATTAAGCTTCATCTTCTTTTGATTTTTTTTTTTGGATGAAATTTTGAAGATAATGAGGCCTGGTTCCTTAAAGACCACATTTTTATCACTTCCAATGATACAAAAACATAGTGAAGAATGGAAATCCTAGTTCAAGGAAAGGGCAGACTGACCCACCTTCAGCTGAGGCTGATGTAGTCACTTTCCAGCTGTGACTAGTTAAGGGGTGGACCCATCTCCCTGCAGCCCGGCAAGTCCAGTGCTTACAAGACTTCAGGCATTGACTTTCTCAGAACGACTGCACTAATCGTATTGCCAAAGAAAAGTGAGTGCAAAGGGAACATCGCGCCAGATGTCGCTTGCCAGACACAAGGACCAGATGCTGAGGGGAGGACTTGCTCACCCGAAACGCAGAAAGGAATTCCCCCACCTCACTGATGGGGAGGCTCATGTCACTTGGGGCCACTGATTAAAGGCAAACAAAGGAGATGGGAGCACTGTGACGATGCAAAGACAACTTCCCAACCCTGTACCTCGGTGAAATCCCAAGACACAGTAAACCAAGCTGCAGGGAGAACGGAATCTTTGTCTAGACCCCAAAGATGGCTGTTTGCAATTAGGCAAGAGTCCCTGGGAATATAGTCGGAGTGAAATGTTTTCTCTTAGTTCATCTCTTCTCCAGAAGGTTCTCCTTATTATTCCCTCCCAGCTCTCTTAACCACTCTGCTGTAGGAAAGAAGAATTCAAAAGGGCTTTAACTATCTGGAGCAAAATCGCTTAACTTTTGAGATATTTCATAGACACAAGATGTCTGGAATTTGGGTCTGTGAAAGAACAAACATGGAGCAGTTGTTTTTTTTTTCTGAAATACTAAAGAGTAGGAGCTGGGCAGGGAGCGGCCTTAGACAGGCTCTGCCCATTTGCAGGAAGTTACTGGGAAGGGTTCTCCAAAGACAGCTCCCCACCCCCAGTGGATGTTCTTTAAAAATGGGGGTGGGGCTTAGAGTCAAATAGTTTTGAAAACTCTCTATAGCACATTGTCTTAAAAATTCATATTAGTACTAAAAGCAATGAGAAAATATTCAGTGAACAAAATTATTTGACTTGGGGAAACTGGTTGAAACAAACTCTGGTAAATGAACTCCTCTTTGTGGGTGACATTAATCACTGTGCTATAGACACACTTGGAAAGCTCTAACATGGGGCTTCTCACCCTGGGCCCTATTCACATTCTGGCCAGATGATTCTCTGCTGTGGGGAGCTGTCTTTTGCATTGTAAGATGATGAGCAGCTTTACTGGTCTCTACACACCAGACAAGAGCAAGACTCTCCCCTAGTTATGACAACCAAGAACATCTCCAGGTGTTTCAAAATGTCCCAAGAGACAAAAGCACTCCCAGTTAAGGTATCTCAGATCCATTCTCCCTTGGGAAACATGGTACTTTATTTCAGGCCTATGCCCACCGAAATTTATCTCTCCTTTCCTAGTCCTGTCTAAAGGATCTCAAACTCAAGACCCCAGAGCTTTCATCTTCTAAGAATGAACTTCCTGTTGACAATGCCTGTGGCACTGCCCTCCACACCTGCCACAGCTTCAGCTCCCCCCCAGGCACATGCAAGTTGTGGGTTGCTTATGGGGGAGACGGTGTTCTGCAGCGGACCCAAAAGAGCACCAAGCCCAGAGCCTACTCCAGGCTCCCCGAGTTTACCTCATGATGTTGGAGGCATCTTCAGCATCGGGGTCAGCGCAGTACTTATTGGCAAGGATGAGGCACGCATCTGCTGACTCTATCTAAGACACCAAAAGGAAAATCACAGAACACAAACATATAAATAGCCATGCTTGGTGGAAGACTCTCTCTTTTAGCAGCTCTTGGGGAACCCTGACACTTTGCAAGGAAATTTTTTAAAAAAGAGTCCTGAGAGATTATACTTTTTGTCAAAAGTGTAGGTTGCAAGTTCTTGTTATGATACAAACAATTCATCTTATTTCTCTCGAAGGGCACAACATGTACCTTGGCAATTACACTGTTCCTTTCTAATAGTCTCTTACATGTGAACTTTCCAGATTTCTTTAAATAACTGTTAACTAAGTTTTTCGGTCCACCCACCCCCCAACCCCTAGCTCCACTGTCTGCACCATCACCCAAACTTTTCTAGGTGAGAAATGGAGTTAGGTGGACTACCCCCTCCTCTCAGGTTACCAAGTTGACTGAGTAGTTGGGGATTCAGTAATTTAGACTCCAAAATGCTTCCTTTAACCTTTCTTAAACCTTAACTGGGGAGTAAGAGGAAATGAGAGCCCTGAATCCAATACTAGCTCAGTATTCAGTTGGCATTCAGATATTCAAAAGACAACAAATCTGTATGAGTAAAATAATGTTTACAGGCTATCTCCAACTATAAACTACTGACTTATCTGCACATGAGCCAAAAATAATTTATTACTGTGAGCTGCGCCAATAATTACTTACATCTAAATTAGGTCTAAGGACAATAACTGTTTTCTCTAAGTTTTCATAAGCTTTTGCATTAGCCCTGACTTGGATCGAGTCTGGGTGATACTAAGATTAACTGGACCTATAAGTATAAGATTTCTCGTGCCGGCTCAACCCTGCAATCTGTCCTGCTTGGTACGCTCTACGTAACATGTCAGTCCTGCATTTGGTGGGAAGGCATGGCTTTCTCTTTGGTATGTGACCCAAGTGCCTCTAGTTTTCCTTAATAATCCAAATCATTTACCAAATCCTATTGGTTTATTCATGTTTGCCAATGACATTATGTACTTAATTATGTGGTGGCCACATAATTTACTGTCTCTTGGATTCATTGACATGTAAATTTTAATCTACACTCACTGCCATGCAAATATCGAGTGTGCTTACAAAACTGATACAAAATGAGTAAAGTAGCAGATGCCACTTTGCTGTACCCCATTCCCTTATAAGAGGGATCCACGTTAGCACATTCTGGAAAGAAGAACGAGCCCATTACCAACTGGTACTGGCTACCTGTATGTCTAGCTTTGCACCTTAATCTTTGGTGGAGATAAAAAGGAAGCTAAAAATGTTTCACGGCTCGCTAAAATTTTATTTTACATTTTATAGTTAATGCTCCTTTCTGATAAAAATAATGAATTTCAGAGCTATGGTGAGACCAATTTAAGTATTCAAGATGGGAAAAACTTGATTATTATGTTGTGAATGAGACTAGTCTACTTCCTCTAGCAGTGCTGACACTGAGGGGACTAGCAAAATAAATTTCATGTTAGGACTAGTTCAAGTGTAGACTGTTTACAGGTGAGCTACCAGGTGCCAGCAGAACGAAGTCCTGAGGCCAAAGGCAGGGTGATGTCAAGATTGGTGGTTTCTGACCTATTAGGGGTTGAGAGGTGACTCTTAGCCATCCTGAGGCGTATGTCCCTCACCAGAGTCAGGCATCACCCCCCTCTTGAGATGGAGTAAAAGCAGAAGTCACTTCTTTCTCCTTACCTTGACTCTTGCAAGATCATGTGGATTGAGGACTGAACCCTGATAAAATTCCACCTGAGTAAAATGTCGTTTGAATAGAGCTTCGAGCTCCAGATTAGGAGAAATGCTGTGCAGGGGGAGAAAACACAGCCATTAGCATGACAGACTCAGGAATTTCAGCCTCCACAGCCTCCTCTCTTGACTTCCACAGAGGAAGACTTGAGTAAAGGCTTTCACCTCCAAAGCAGCCCCTGTGCTTATCATAAATAAAAGGTTCACATTCAAGAGAGTCAAAACCCCAGCCCAACTGCAAAGCAAAACCAATACCAAGGTGAAAGCAACAGGCTCACGGCTTTCTGCAAAGCCTAATGAGCATGGGGCAAAATGTCTTCGGCTTCATTAGGAGTCGAGTCCCTATTTGATGAGTAGAGAAACTGAGGCTGTCAGATCAGTGATTAGCCAAAGGCCCCCTGGCAAGACTCCCTGCTTCTATCAGAAGCCTTTTCCCTGTTTCTCCAGTCCCTCGACTTCTCATCCCACAGGGACTGAATCAAAAAATGTCACCTCTGACCAGCCGCACACAGAGTTCATTTACTCTCAGTGCTGTTCTTGGTTCCCACCTGTGTACAGTATCCATCGTTCTTACGGCTGAGCTATAAAGACATCTTTCCCACTGGGGGATAAAAATTAAATCAGTGATAACAATCGTTATGATAACTATTTATTCATTTATCAGTTCTGGAGGGATGAAAAATACCTGCTTACCACGTGGTATGATACTAGGCACTGGGAGATAGTTAAAACCTACTAGGCGCCAAGAACTGTATTAATCAACACTTGGCTAACATTTATTAAGTACCTAGTAAAAATAAATTTTAGTGTTTTCAGCATTTACTACATAGCAAATATGATTCTAAACACTTGACCAGTAGGAACTCACTTCAATCTCAAAACAACCCTAGAGGAAGGTATGGTATTAACGCAAAGCTTCAAGAGATGAACTAACTTGGGCCACCGACTGTCATGCTGACACTAATAGATGCAGAGGAGACAGGGTGAGTCCTAGCAACGGAAGCACAAGAAGCCGACTTGTTGATTCAGACCAAAGCCATGGGTGAGAGAAGAGTAGCTGCCTGTATATATCTGACCAGTCTTCCAGATCTTACACAAACTGTGCTTCTTTCCTGACTCCTGCCTTAGTAATAAAGAAGTGGAGGTCCCTCCCTGGTACACGGGCCCCTGGCCATTCTGCCGCTTGATTAAACTGACTTCAGTAAGTTAATTCAGTGTCAATGTTGTGCTCTATCTAATGTCACACATGTGTTACGCTTCAAATGTTCAACCAACATGAGGGCAGAACCTACATACTACGCTTCTCTTGCACCTTCTAAAATGCTCAGCAGAAGTCAGGCCCCACAGCTGATAGTCAGCGGCTAAGCACCAAATCCATCTGTGGGTTCTGCTCTGAGGCCCATGACCTGGCCAGGCTTTTCAGAACTTGAAGAAGTCAGTGCTGAGGAGAAAAATGCCAGTGCTCAAACATGGTGGCCAGTTTGGTGAAATGCCCACAGGAAGGGGATGAACACAATGGGAGCTTGCAGGGAAATCCCGGAGGAGGACTGAGTCCCGGGTGGTCAACGCTGTATCAAGCCAACACCAACATGTAAGCTTTGTCCCTCCAGCAACTGAAGGCTAGGGCTGGCCCCTTCACAGCCACACGTCCATAAAAGAAGTCAGTGCAACCCATGTCAGCAGACTGTAGCCGTGCCCCCCCAAACCTTTCATCCTTGGAGCAGACTACTTTTTACGTAAAAGAGAATATGACAAAGCTTAAAAAGTCAACGGCACTGAGCAGAGGGGAGCTATTTTGCCTTCCTCATCTATAAAACAAACATATAAGACCCAACTTCTAAATTGATTATGTGACCTAATATATCTTATCTTTCACAGTACAGGCTCACATTGATTGAGCAGTTACTTCACGCCTGACTCTGCTCTGCATATTTTACAAGAGTTACTTCTTTTCATTCTCACAATAGCCCAAGGAGGCTGGTAGGAACCATGATGATCTCCTGGTCTTATGGATGTGGAAACTGAGGCCCAGAGAAGGTAAGTTAACTTGTTCAACAAGTAATTGGTTGAGTCAAGATTCAGATCAGATGTTCTGAGTCCAGAGCACCTACTTAACTCCTGTTGATCACAGGAGAGACTGTATATGCCGTGATCAACACTAGGGTCCCCCACTGAAGGTTTCTAGGACCCACAGTTGTCGTTGCTATTATCATCACCTTACACCCTGCTTCCTGTTAGGCCTGTGCCTTCTTTGGTCACTGTGTCACTCCAGCACTCATAAAGCATCCACAGCATACCGTTAATCATCCCACACCACACACTGCAGGCACATCTGGATCACAGAGATCCAGACAGCTGAGGGGACAGTGATGATGTGTGTGACCCATACTAAACTTCAGAATTGCCTTCACAGAGGCATGTGCTGCTCTCACCACCGACTTAGTGTGCTGTTTCCACATCCACTGGTTTACACTGTCCTCTCCAGTGAAGCCAGAAGGGACTGTGACTCACTCACCTCTGCTCTGCTCCCCCAGTGCCACCCCCAGACCTTCACTCCTGCAGACACTCAGGGTGTCCCCCTCGTGGTGTCTTGTTGGGTGGAGGGTCTTGAAAAAATGGGGGCCTCTTACTTGTGAAGAAAGACGATCTCCACGTTGACATCATCCCGGTCCTTGTGCAGAAAGTCCTTCAGGAAATTGGAAACACTCTCCAGAGTGATGTGTCCACAGACCACAATGTGCCTGAATGGGAGAGGCCAGTTAGAAGAGGCCGGCCGGGCAATGACCCAGGCACCCACTCCCAGCAGGACAGAGGAAGCGCGCAGCTGCAGGAAAGCGTTCATCACCCCCTCCCCGGCCTCAACAAAAGCCCAGCTCCTGTCCCCAGAGGCCTGTGAGGCAAAGCAGCGGTGCTGGCAGGTGCTCAGTGACTCCTCGACAGAAAAGGCATATGGCTTCTCACCTGATGCTGCACAAAATCCTATTAAAAGCCCAACCGTTTGGCCAAGTGGTTTTATGCATTTAACAATAAGTGACATTATACCTGCGCTTAAATGCTGCATTATCAAGTCCCTTGCAGATTCATATCTCTCCCTTTCTGCCCACAAAGCGTCCTCCCGGGAGATTTACTGAATGAGTCTTGGTTTATGACATAGAGCTTATCAGGTAATGAGATAACAAATCTTGCTGAAACGATGATTTTGTGTGTAAGAAAGCGAACTTTTATCAGGGTGGCTAATGTGCAGCTTGACACGTTATGGGCTCTGCTGGCCATAAGCAGTAAAAAGGAAAATTTTGCATTTTTCTGCCATAACTCCTCCGACAATGGGGGCATGTAACACTTTACAGTAAGTGAGCATCACTCAGGGCTAAATGGGGACAGGACGGCTGTGGAATCGTAGATCAGGCCGCAGATCTGTGTGTCCCCAGACAGCTGCTTCCTTAGGGTGGCAGAGATTTCTCTGAGAGCCGAAGGAACTGACCTCAAGATGGGGAGACACTAGGAGGAGATGAGGCTGGCATTATTGCCATTGTTCCAGGGTAGACTGGACTTCCAATTTTGGAGATGGTGGCGCCCCCTGAGGAAAGGAGCCCCTCTGCCAGAACTATTGGAACAAGCATCCCCCCTACATCCGTGGGCTTCTGGGTGAATCTGACTTTAACACCAGGCTATACTGTGGCCACTTACATTCATTACATGATGCTTGTTCAGGACTAAGTACTTTGGTGTAAGAGTTAGCCCCAGGACCAAAAGTCAGGGACTGACTGCACATGAAACCTGCTGGCTTACAGTAAAGAGGTTGTAGCAAGGGGTGCAGCCCAGGTCCCTGTGCCCCTCGGGCTGAGAGTGACAAAGGCTGAATACCTGGCTGGACTGTGAGGCATGGGCAGGTGGCAAACATGAAGCCCAGTAATTCTGTGGGAAATTTCAAAATGGCCAGGTCCCTTGCACTTGGTAATTGCTTGGTGCACATTCCAATAAGGCAGAAAGCGCATGGCTGGAGGCAGCTCATAATAGGAGGCAGTGATGATCACTTATGCAATGTTCCATTAGATGCCATTACAAGAGCCTGCCCTTTCGTTGTAATTTGGTGCTTGACTAAGTATGTGAGAATAATGCAGTAAACTCACTGGTGAAAGGATAATGATGCAGAACAAAGAGTAAATCAATAATACGCACATTGCAGTTAATAACATCACCATTATGAACTGTTATTGTTACGGAGCTGTACTTAGTGATCGGGCAAGCGGAGGGCGTCACAGGGAGGGGAGAGTGTCCACAGCTCCCTCAGACGAGACACTTGAACATGATCGCTGTGCTCTCTAGCTGGTAGCTGCTAGGTTAAGAGAGATCCCTTGGCCACCCATTCAAATTTTATGCTCAAAATCCGTATGACTGACACCTTCCTAAAATACATGGTGAATAGAATACATGATGTAAATTAAACACCTGGATTATATACATTTTTATCGAATCATACCTTAAAATGTTGCTTGTGGCACATGTGTATTTGTATAGACAAAACAGGCTGCGCATGAATTTGCATGATCTGAGCAAGATTTCTGGTTTTGAATTTGCCAAGTTTGTTCAGAAATTGACTAAGAAACAGGACCTTCCTCCTGACCACTTCACAAATGACGGTGGGGTTGCTCAGGGCAATTCTAATACTTTCTGCCCACTAATTTCCATGATTTGGAAGACCAGCACCCTTGCCAGGTGGCTCAGGTGGTTGGAACATCGCCCCATACACCAAAAGGTTGCAGGCTCGATTTCTGGTCAAGGCACACACCTAGATTGTGGGTTCAATTCCCAGTAGGGGCATGTACGGGGGACAACCAGTGGATGTTTCTCTCTCACATTGATGTTTCTCTCTCTCTCTCTCTCCCTTCCTCTTTCTCTAAAATCAATCAACATATCCTAGGGTAAGGACTAAAAACGAGTGAATGAATGAACAGACCAGCTATGATCCAAGGTAAGGGTACCTCCACAGGACTGACCTTGGTTCCACCTGGATGTGAAAGTATGTTGTATTTGATTTCACGCTCTGCCACCAAGGATGTGTGTGATCCTGGGCAAGCTTCTTCCGTCATTCAATGCATGAGGGAACTGAAATGTTGAAACCCCCAGCCAGCCTCCTGCCCCAGGCACTACAAAGCTCATAATTCTACACCAGCATAAGCCCAGCTATTATTCAAAGCTGGACTCAAATCAATGAGAGAGCCAGAGAAATGCCTCGACATTCATCCTTCCTCTCCTGTATGCAAAGAGCTGAATGACTATCTGCCAGCAGTCCCTCTTCCTCTTTTAAAATCGTTCATCTCGAGGACAGATGTGTGAGACGCGGAGGGGAAGGAGACAAGTTCGCCCTCTCACCCTTGAATCAAAGACCCAGCCCGCTGATTTATGTAGCCTTAGAAAGAGTCAGGGTTCTCTTAGTTGAAAATGTGCTGGGTACATATAAAATATATTCCAATGCAATCAATATTATCCCTTAAGCCTTTAATTAGCTTTCACTTCTCTCAAGAAGTAGACAAATGCTGGCAGAAGAAAGGAGAAAAAAAATTGACTTTTCTCATTTGGTGTTAGCTGTCCAATACCATTCTAGACAATTTAAAAATATATATCTTTTAGCTACAGCATGATTTCTGGGGTAGAGATCAGTCTTTATCAAAAAGGGAGGTAAAGAAATCTTCCGTCAACATAATTGGTATTTCTGCTCAGAGAAAGAGAGATTGATTGAAAGCAGATTGCCTCTTTGCCCAAGGAGAGTTATTAGACGCATTATCATGGCAACCTTGGGGAACCCATATTGTTCCAATCTGTCCTATATCTGATTTGGAGATTTACGGCTTCCCCCTTTTGTGCCAATAATCATTTCCCTCTATTTTGTTTTCCATACAGTGAAAGTTATCAAGGAACCCACATATTGAAAATGTTTGAATGCAGTTAGAATTGATGGATGGGGAAAGGCTGCCCTTCTAACTCAGCATCTGCATTAGAAGGTCTGCTCCCACTAGCCCTCATCTGAGGACACCCCAAGGGCCGTGCAAGGAGTGCAAGGGATGGACGGTGAAAGAGGAAATGTTTATTTCTCAGAAATATTTTCAGGAGTGGAACATTCTAGAGGCAGTAGTTTTGGGAAGGATGTTACTGAGGGGAGAAGAGAAACAGAGTTTCTTGAATCTTCAACAATTGAAAATGCTCTAAGATTGAGAGCAGGGTGCGCTGTCCTCAGGAGCAGAGTGATGGTTGTTAGCAGTGTGGGATCTGAAGAATGCCAAAAAGATCCTCATCCAAAATGATCTCCGCCAGGTTCTGTGACACCTACAAATCTACCGTGTGAGACTGCTACTCTGATAGCCCCGTGGTGACTCAGAGACTAAACCACTAAACAGTCTTGGGCAAGGTACCAATTCTGCATTTTATAATTTTAAAGTCAGAATCTCTGAGGGGCTGGAGGATTTAATTGAATAGGTAATACATGTGATGGCCTAGTAAAGGGTCTGGCTCATGGTTAGCATTAAATGCTAGGATTCACGTAACACCTGTAAATCAATATGTAGCAGATACAAAATAATACTCTGTGTCCCATTTAATCTCACCTAGTCCTCAGACAACCCTGTCTGTTACCTGCATCTTTTCAGACAACCTCTCTGAACCTCGATTTCCTTAGGTGATATACCTGGGATCCCACAGCAAGTAAAAGTGACTCTCCCAGGTCGTGACCCAGGTCTCTGACTTTCACTCTCACTAAGAAAGATATGATGTAGAAAGGACACAGGCTTCAGTATTTCAGCTTCTGCTCCCTCTGGACCAACAGGAGATCCTCCTGAGCACACGGTGGAGGGGTATGTGAGCATTCCTCCTAGGCCAGGGGAGAGGCTTAGTGTAGGGGCTAGAGTGGACGGAGATAAACCTCACTTAAAGCATCACAGAGACACAGTATCACTAGATTCTGGTGGCACCTGGTCAGTCAGGACAGGAGGCTCAAGGCGGAGAAGGCTGAATTGCAGCAGAAACTCTAAACCAACTTTCAAATTAAGCCACAATGGGCAAACCCAGGGCGGCAAAGTGGTGCAAGTATTCGTTTTAGATATTATCGGCCATGTCCAGCTTAGGACTTCCTCACCAGCCCAAGAATCCAAGGGTAACCGAAATCTAGATGCTTTGTTGACAATGGAGAACATTTAGGAAAGTTACACTTAAAGGTAGCAAATGCTGCCGCCATCTGGAGCTCCAGGTTTGAACATTTTTAGACCACTGGTGATCACGACTGATTTCCAGTGGGCCTGGCCACCTGGTCTGTGAAGGTGGCCAACAAACCTAAATCAATAACCATTTGTCATCAGATGTACTTTTTGGTTTTTAAAGCTTTGTTTAGTTCTGTGAAAAAAATCTTTCTCAGGACAAACTAATGTTAATGTCTAGGATTAAAAGATCCATCTCAGATGCACAAGGAAGCATGTAATGGAAAAATGGTAGCAGATGGATTTTGTGGAAGGGATTTACTCATCCAGTGGAAGCAAGCATACCTGGTTTGGGGTAAGGGTGCCATAATCCTGGGCAGGGCTGAATTAGAGGTGGGAAACACTGGCAGATCAGGGCACAAGCATGGCATCAAGGGGTTGAGTGTGACTTACTCAGAACAAGAACCATGCTTGACTATTATGGAAGCTGTCAGGGCTCACCAGAAAACGACCAACTGCTTATTTCATGGGTGCCTCTTCACTAAATACATATC